TGTCAATCAGACAGCCATGAGGGTTTCCTACTTAGTCGCACTGAACAAGCATTTAACGAGGTAACTACTTCTGGCATGAGAAGCATTCTATTTTAGGAGTCCAGTAATTACTGTGCATGCACCATAGACCCTCGCTGCATCTCTGTTAGAAAATTTGGATTGGATTGGACGTCATCACTACTAGTGATAATGTATCGTGACAGGATCGAGCTGTTGTGAAAAGGTGATCTGTCGACTGGAAAAGAGTTGAGTTTAATATTTATTTATTTTTAATATAGAATCGGGGGAGGCAGTAATCTAAACAAAAGGTGGCACATAAAAAAAAGAAATACGTTTAATTTTTAAAGTTGGTGTGTAATATTAATGAGTTTGATTGTGACTGTCTGCAAACTACAAAACAATACACTAATGTGGCTTACAAAATTAAATATAAATTTCGGCATTCTGTGTTCAACATCACAAAGTGCAAAACGATCCGAGCAACAGAAAAAAAAAGTGTGCATTGAATTTTTTTTATATTTATAGCTTCAATGTTCTCGTGATCAAAGTATGTGAAGATCTATGTTTTTGAATTCCAGTAATTATTTTACATTTTCTCTAATTGAGCACAAATATATTAATCACAATGACTGAACTCGTGATTAGCAGGTCAGTGTGTTAGCAATTCTGCCATTGTGAATTACCTGTCTTGAGCACTAGATAAAATAGATGTATATGTGTATGCGGCACCAGAGGAATCATTTTAAAAAAATACATTTTCGATGTAGTTGTTATTTTTTTTCAATTTACACGTTTGCATATTTACATGTTTATTTTTGTATGGGTACCTAAATTCAAACCTTTAAGAAAACGGCTTTGGATAAATAGGGTGGCAGAGGAGATTTAACAGACAGTGTTTGTAAGCTCACTGTTAAAGTTTACACACAAATAAAATTCTGTTGGGGAAGTTATTGTTAGCGAATACTTGAATACTTGAGACAAATTTTACAACAAGCAATATAGTAGTGGTAGGAACAACAAAATTATCCCGCATATAAAGGGATAAAAGGAGGCAAAAAGTTTATGTTTGTGTTTATGTCCGGTTTATGTCCGCTAGTTCACAGAAGAGATAATGTAATGGAAAATGCGCAGCGATGGACAATAATGTCAGTACAGAAGATAGAAAGAATCATTTTGGTTTAGAGCTTTTCAAAACAGGATTTTGTTTTGACATGAAAAGAAGCATTGGTAGGGTGATTTAATAACTATATGCAAATGTATTTAAGTCAATACAATGTGCTATCTAGGGACCTATTCACCAACAAAGCTTTACAGAGGACACAGAGTGATTTCACCTTCAACAACACAAAAAGTGTTCTAAAAAGAGAGCAGTACGTATCTGTGGAATTTACAGGTTATGAAGTTTGTATTGGCATATTTATGGAAGGAAATGCATGCTGAATTCTATCATTCTATTCTATACATTGCCTAACACCTTGCCTCTTGAAGGTGAAGTGACGGGCTCTATGTATTTATTTCCTGAAAGGAGTTTCTAGAGATTTCAAACTAACATAGCAGACCAGAACCACTACAGCCACCCACTTTCTTTATCATAGCCCAACAGGGCATTGCTAGTTGGGCCTTAGCCCACAGTAAATTCTATGGCCCCTTCACTAAACAAGATGTGAGCTTATGCGTTTGACAAACCACTGTTTCTCTTTGTTATGCCCCCACTCCTGCTGCTTATGCTCTTCAAGATCTCAAACAAAAGTCTAGCCAGGAGCACAACCATGTGCTCCACAGTCAGTTATTCAATGCAATCCAAAATTGCTCCCTAACTAATTGATGGATTTGCGATAAAGTTCTGTTCCCCAGCACCCCCTCCCAACAGTCATTTTGATGGCATTCCCCCACTGTTATTATCCCTGCAGAGCACTTACTAGTGATGTTTCTTTTTATATCAGGCCCCTTCTCTGAAAAGAATGTTCTAAATTTTATATTAAAAAAACAAACAAGGGGGGCAAAGCCTGACCGCCAAGCCAGCAGGACGCACTGAGGCTGAGCTCCGGGACCAAAAGCCAAATTAAACGAAGTTTAGATGCGGAATCAGGACTTTCTTGAATTGAGCGTGTATTCTATGTACCTGCAATGAAATGCTGAATGATGTGTCTCCACAAGGACCGGCTCCAGGTACCGGCAGACCACCCGGGCTGAGGACCCCACGAGGGTTTCCCCGCTACAGAATAAACGCAGACGAACGACTATCACCACCAACCGACATCAACCACGTAGACTCACCCGCACTCCCCGGACAGGGAAAGGCTCAACCACGGGGAGGCTCCGGGCAGAGGGGCACAGACAACTACCCCACAACAAGGATAGAGGCTGGAGAGGCACAACACAAAGCAGCAGAAATGCCGCAAGCTCCAGCAGACAGTCTGAACACCCGACCACAGGGGTTGGGTAAATCCCACCCTCCCACAGTGATCTCCACCTGGAAACTTTCCAGCCTTATCACACCATTTTACTGTCCCCTGCAGTTCGTATATTGTTACATCTATACTTACCCACACCCTAACACAGCATACTCTTTTGGGGATTATAAGCCATAAACTATCACCCATCACTCTGCTATGTGGCCATATTCCTAGAAACGTCTATCGCTAATATAGGTAGAGGGTTATTAGCCAGTGGTATTACCAGTTGAAAGTAACTAAGTACAGTTCTATATTATGCATATTTGTTTCTCTCTCAGTCCATTAGATAGAAATGTGCTTCTGAAGCTCTTATTCTGTTCTTCCATTTATTCTAAGGAAAGGAAAATGTGCAGCAATGTAAGCAACCAACATTACATAGAATATCATGCACATGTCTACTTCTTTTGCCTAATTGTTCCCACGCCGCCAACTCTGAAGTAGACATGCCAGTCTAGCTTGTTTAAACATAATAATATAAAAATGTGCAGTCTATATGTGCCCAGTCAAAATCTTTGTTGTTTAATTTCTGTGTGCTGTTGTGGCACTTTACTTATGCCTGTAATCTAATTGCACAGAAAAATAAAGAATTATAAAAAATAAAAAAAATGCTAATAATCTCCTCTGCCACCCTATTTATCAAAAGCCTTTTGCTTACAGAGTTGGATTTAGGCACCCATACTACTTGTAGAGTACTAGAGTCGGAATTAACCCCTTAAGGTCACATGACATGTGATGATTCCCTTTTATTCCGGAAGTTTGGTCGTTAAGGGGTTAAATAGTCATAAAGAGTCACCTGGGGTTTCAGCTCCCAAGGCCCCCCCCCTCCCCCCGCTCTCCTCCCAGCACCGTCTTTTTCATTGTATGTGAAGTAAAGTTTTGTATCAAACTAAATGAGAAGCAAACAAAATGGTTAAATGCAGAAGTATAAATCTATCTACAATATATAATTCTTCCTGTACAGTATGGCATTCATATGTTACAGAGCTAGGTTGCTAGATTTAGGCATACCATCTATAGGAAGTATAGGATAATTTAAAAGAAAGTAAGATACATTTGAAAAAATTGGTCATTAATATTTATACAGTTCAGAAAACACACAGATAAAATGCATTGAAATATAACTTTTAAAAGATTAATGAAACAGTATTCTAAGATTTTAAGAAAGATTGTTAAATCATCATTGTTTTGTTATAGAAGTGAGTTAGTCTAGGTTCTAGTGAGTGAGTTAGTCTAGGTTCAGGTGTATAACATTTTATCATAACTGTTTAATATTAGCCTCAATTTAATTGGAGTCAATCACTTTTACTGGGAGTTAATTGGCTAATGGTAAGCCATTTATTGGTTCAAATTGATTAAATTACTGAGATTAAAGACTTATCAGAATTTGATAATTATCGGTTCAAATATCTGCAATTTTCTAAAAATATCCAATATTGATACACAAAGTTTACATTGATCATTTCCAGTTACCAAGCATTTATGAATTATTAAATGTGCTTATCGGATTTGACATGCATAACAACTCGCACTAGACTGGGTGATTTATTTTTGTCCAAATTGGAGTCTGTATGAATTTGGGCCAATCAGAAGGTCGGTAGAATTCCTGAGTTTTTCTAAGTTGAAAGGTAGCTGAATCCCAAACCAAATAAGCTTCATAATTCGCCCAAAATTTTCACTTTGATTCATGATTCTGACTTCCTCCTGCGGCACCAAAACATCTTTTTAATATTTTTAACACAAAACCGGCAGAATGTCAGAAAACTATATCGCTTGGTTACTGATAAATTGCAAAGAGACCTTTGTTAATTGTTGGGATTTTTTTCTCAATAAAGCATCAAGAATTCTTGTCCTGAACAAGATGTTTTAATATAATTGCTAGTGAAATAGTGAAAATATTTTCTTTAAATATGAACCATTTTACTTTAAAGAGGAAATATTACTTACTAGGTTCTAAAAATTACATTTACTTATTCCCTGTATTTAGAAAATGCATAACACCAGACAGCTGTATTTGCCTCCATCTTACCGTTCTGCCAATCATTGCCCATTTCTGCCATTGAGTATAGTTAATAGAAGAGAAAAAACAGAAACATTGTTTTAGATCTCCTTCTCATTAGCATCATGTGCCCTAGCTGTGCCTGAACTGTACTGGATTCTGATTTCACTTGTTAAATATTTAATCTATATTTAAAAGAAAACTGAGCATCACATGAAAATTTGAACACCAAAGTTATGTAATGCTTTAATTTGCAGAGACGTGATGGATCCCCTTTAAAAGTCTTATTTGGTTGCAGCTTCATACAGAGTTTTTTACACATATTTTTATTCTCTTTCATTTTTGTTGGTGGGTGAGAGGTACTATCTAATTATGTTAACTATCTTTCCAAGTCTTATGTGAATTTTGTTACTTAGTTACCCACATGCAAAGGAAATATTTGCCAAGATTCAACAATGTTTTTAGACTTAGATTCAAGAACATTGAACATAAAATAATCCTTCACATTCAGTGACATGTTAAAGAAACATTCATTTGAAATATTCATTGACAGAGGTAACCCTGAGGTTCATGAAATTATATAGAGACAGAAAGAGACCATCAGAGAAAGGAGATACAGAGAGACGGATGAATACTGCATTATGAGCAAACTTCAGAAATACACATATTCTGCTGCAGCCAGATCCACTTCACAGGAATGTCTGATCTACTCTCTTCGGAGTCATGTGAAGTATATGGTCAGTCAGTGTATAGCAAGGTCAGAGGAAGCAGGAGAGATCAGACAACTGGAGAGAGATACTAAGAGAGAAAAAAGAGAAAAACCCCTACGTGTTCTAAGTATCATCTGGGCAGTGCTGTGCATATCGTCACTATATATATTAAATTACTGGAGTATGCTGAATATCCTGAAATGACTTGGTGTTGGTTTAGCCATGCTCAGAGGACTTATGTCTATTGAGTGCCTGTGTACATGCCTGCTTTTGTCTAAATATTCTTAAGTGTCTGTATGCATGTCCCAGGATTTATCTGCATATACTTAAGTTTCTTCATGTATGTATTTATGTCTCACGCAATGTGCCAAACTGTCTGCCTGTATGTATCTGTGTCTGTCTGTAGGTCCTACATTGTCAGCATGTACATGTACATTTGTCTTGGTTTCGTGAGTCTAAACCTGTCACTCCATTTATAGAATGTGCGTTCATGATAGCATAAGATGTTGAATTCTACATAACGTAGCTAAATGGATGTAAAAAGAAATAAGAGCCTACAGGGCCCTTGGCATGTCATGACTTTGGGGACCTATTCACTCTAAATTGATGTCCAATGGGACCAAGCTTGGCCAAATGTATTCATGTCTAAACCCTAGTCCTTAGGCAACCACCTTAAGTTGTCCTATGCTTAATTCAGTTACGAGGAGACTTGACTGCAAAATAATTAATACAAGATGATTTTATAGAAGTTTTGTGACCAATGTGTAATTAAATGAACATTTAATGCATCATAAATTAAGAGCAATAAATGCAGTTATGTTTGTGTGAGTAAGTGTATATATTTTTTTTTTTTTTTAAAGTAGATTAATATTTGTTCTCCTGGTCCCTGTTTGTTCATTTTTATGCTTGAAAAATAAAAGAACTTACTTAGATAAGATAAATGAAAAAAAAATTCTAATCCTTATGCTGATTATTGAACACACAGTATATGTGCAAATGTAGCAAAAGGTGGACAGACAGATATAGGGATAGGTAGGAGAACATAGTATAGGGAGGATAAGTAATGCAATTAATTCAAAGTGATTTACATGAAAAGAGAAAGAAATGTTGAAAGGGCAGGAGACGAGAGTGCATGGAAGTTTAATTTGAAAGAAGACAGATGAAAGAAAATCATAGACCAGTGACTGGACTCAAGGGATTTTCCAGAAGTTGATATTAACATATAAAAGTGTTGTGCATTGGAAGTCAGAGACAATGAGAATGACACAGGGACAAATCAGGGACAGTGCAGTTGTGTTCAGTTAGTGGCATTGAAGGAGTTTACTTTCACAGTGGGGCCAGGTGTCCTCTTATAGGGACAAATGACCATTATTAAGGCTTTGCCGTTTCCAAGGGCATTATTATGCTGGAATAGAATGTTTCAATATATAATAAGCATATCTGTGGTATTTTCTTGACAGTTACAATTTATCAAGCAAGTCACCTGCTCATTTCTGAAGTCAGTGTAACCTCGTCCCCCACCGAACCAGCTGAATAATGGTTAAATACTGGCTGGTTGGCGACAGTTGTCTTAAGATACTGGAAAGGTGGGCACATAAAATATACAGCTTTCATAATGAAACACTGAGGCTTTACAAAATACAACAATGAGCTATTATAGACCAGAAAGAGGCACAAACAGATTAGAATTATGGTATTACTGTTGTAATGTTTCATGTACAATAGGCCACTGTTTTGCTATATTGCCAGACAACATGCATTATAAAGCTGGGATAGAACAGTTATTATGGACACACTGTGAAAACAAAAAATAGGGGCAGCACATTTTTTACTTGTATTCCTTTAATTTATGTTCACTTTGTTGAAAAGAGTAGGACAAAGTAGCAGTGCACGGTGCCCAAATATTTTATCCCAGTCTAGCTCTCTAAAGTAATAAAAGGTATTTTAAGCCAATAACGTACATTAAATTTTTGTCTGGTTTCTGTCTCCTTGACATAGGTTGCATGGACTTGTCCAGACAGGAGGAAGACAATAAGAGTATTTGAGTGATGGTAGCCAGTCCTATTTCAAGGACATCTCTGAATCACTGTGAAAATCTGAAGGTTGATCTGAAAAAAATAAAGAAACATCTGATAATGAAAAAAAAAAGTAATTTTTTATTCTGTTATAATTTAGAGATGAAGTCTGATAGGAAGATAGCAAAGGACAGTCATGTAACATGATTCATAAGTTCATACTGTGCATATAGCAAAGGTGATAACATCTGGCACTTTGAATTATCTATCCATGCTCTGTGTGGTCTGTTTTTTTTTTTGTACTACTAATATATTCAGTGTTAGAGGGTTTTTTAGTGACAAATACATGGTATCTGTAATAACATGTCATGAGGATTCATGCCTTGCGGAAGACATCGGATAGCAACTGACCAAACTAGAAGGTTTGGCAATGTTGCAAGATTGCCTTGAGGAAAAGCCAACATATTAAGGGAAACAATAGCAACAGAGATGCAAAATATCTTCACAAAGATTAAATTTGAGGTTTGCAGACCTAGAATCTACATAATAAGCAACTGGGAGCAGAGACCTTCCAATGTCAAACACATGTGGCAACTGCAGAAAAAAAACTATATAATGATGGACATGATGCTCAAATGTAGTATGGAGTATTTATCATTAGTTATCATACAATGAGGGAGATCTACAACTCCATTAGCAGATGGAGGTAGACCTATCCATGGTATACAATTCTGTTTGCCCAAATTGATTCATCTGAAAAGATTTTTGGTTCGAGATTCATCCATGTGTCATCATCAGTTCAGATGAATTTCATCCATGCAATCATTTCGAAAAAAAACAATTTGGACAAACCAAAACGGCATGAAAATGTGCCTATTAGTGTATGGCATTCCAAAAATGGCTAAACTATTGCCTAGCCTAAGGGGCTACTCCTCATTTTTTACCTCTTTTAGTCACTTGATCTGTGAATAAAATAAATATTTAGTGTCCATTAACCATTAATCATCTGGTTTTCCATCAATCATCTATTTTTCCATCTTTTGGTTGGACATGAGATACCATCTACAACATTGGGCAGATCTCTTGTCCATCATGGCAATCTAAGCTGCCCATTTGCACCACCCCCTAACCCCCCCAAAAAGCTTCTTTACCATGTCGTTCTCATTTTTCTGGCTGCAAGGACAGTTCATTGAATCAAGAAGCAAACAAAATGGTTTTTATATATGGTGTTTTGGAGTTGAGTAATTCAGACGAATTGCTGATTTCCCAGAATTCCGACTAATACCAATTTGCTTGAAACCAAATTCACAAGTCCAGATGAAGCTCCAACAAGCTCAAATAGTTGAATAGAATGAACTGTTCATCACAGTTTATCACTGTTATCTACATGGTCTTGGGTTAACTGAAGTTTCTGACACTATTATAATATAGTCTGTGTAATCTTTTACTCTGTTTATACTCCTTATTTTTTTCAAATTTTGGTAAGTATATTTCTCTTGATTTAATTTGTATATGCTGATTATGTTATTCCAGAAAGTTCAACTAATTTTAATATGCTGCTTTAGTGGCTGTGAACTTTATTAAGACTGCCATGCTTGGTCAGTACGTTGGTTACCTAGACTTAAAGAAACACTTTAGGGTCAGGAACACAAACATTTATTTCGAACCCTGGGAGGATATTTATGGGTTGATACATATTAAAAACAATATTTTCATAAAAATGATCAAAAATTTATTTAATATTTTTTTTATATATATAAAAAATGTATATAATGGCACTGTTTCCCTGATTAATGATTTAAAGCTGAGAATGACTCACTATTTCAATTCTCATAGATCCTTGGATAAGTTTTATTAGAGGATTTTGTATCTCACACATTAATCACAAATTAATTATAAAAATATAATTTATTGTGACAACAATAATAATAATAATAATAATAATAATAATAATAATATGTAACATGCGTGATAATATCAGTGAATATTTAGGTATAACATAAGTATACAATATGGAAATGGTTTAACGCAATTACAGACAGTTAAATAGCAACATTCATGTTAACATGTATGCAGTTTTCAACAAGATTTACAAAAGGACACTTTACTTTGAAATCAACTTAACACAGAACACATCATTTCACAGCAGCACAGCGCAAAGCAATAAAAACTTTAGCTGAAAGTCAAACCACACTGAATTAGCTCATTCATTGCTGGCTGCAATTCTCATAGGCAAGATATCCTATTATATTGCAGTTTTACAAATACAATATTTCTCATATCAAATCATTTACCATTCCTATGTCCATCCAGTAAGAATAATTCTAACCAGATTTTACATTTGCAGAATTTTAACTTTCCTATTTAAGACCCACTATCCTTAGTCAATACCTCTGGATAAAAGTTTGGTATGCTAACATTTGGCAAATTTACGATTAATATATTGTTATCTTTATTCCACCTGCAGGAATTTTAATTTTTATAACCATATATTCCTTAACTAATTATGATTTCTAATAATTGAAAGCTGCCCAACATTTATCCAGATATATATTCCTGCTATTAGTAAAAATTAATAAATTTTAATTAAATTAAATAAAAAACAGCATACTTACCAGTTATGTTGTAGAATTTCTCTTTTTCAGGCTTGGATATGCATCCCATAAATGTGAGTATGATGAGAATTGTGGGAAAAATAAAAAAAGTTTTCAGAGTTCTGAAGTTGTGTTAGTTGAAAAAAATACAAAGAATTAGGTGTGTCCAGCTTTGGCTTCAGATGTCAGATCTTAGATGTTAGTTGTGAGTCCATCCTCAGAGTGAGAGTGTATCTGAGTCTGAGTGAGTCTGAGTGTGAGAGTCTAAGAGTGTGAGAGTCAGAGTCTAAGAGTCCTTCCTCTCTCTCCTTTGTCCTTAATTTTAAATGAGAAGTTCTCTATACGTCACTAGTTGATAGGACCAATAGAGAACAGTTGGTGTGTCTTCGCTACAGACTATCATCTAGATTTTGGTCAGTAGATGGCGTAATTA